TACACACTGTGCTTAACTGTGACACTACAGGGCCAGCCTCTTGACTTTCTATTGAAAAAGCCAACTTTTCGGCTGGCCCCTAGCTCAGTGATTAAAGGCAGTTGTATCCCATACCGTCAACCATAGTTCAAATCCTAGCCCTGGTGGCTTGGGAAATAAAGGGGGAGGGGACTAAGTCTCACGGTGGGAGGAGAAGACAAAGACAAAGACAGCAATTGGGAGGCCACTGCAACATTCCAGGCTAGGGAGGAAGTTGCAAGGACCAGGCAGAGGCTGTGGCGCTGTCAGTAACCATCAAGTTATGGACACACTCTGAAGACAGAGCCAACAGAACTCCTTGGCCAGCCCCTGGCCTGCTGGTTAAGGCGGCCAGAGCCCACGTGATCAGTCATACAGTTTAAGTCCCGGATCTGGTGGCTTGAAAAGCACACGAGGCATGTGTACATGTGTCAAATCCAGACAGTAAAGAGAACTAGAGGAGAAGGGACCCTGGCATGACCATGCTCCACCGGGGGGTGCTTTCTCCCTCTCCCTCCCCCTCTCCTTCTCTCTCGGGTAAGCTCATGCTTTCTCTGGAAGAAAAAAAAAAATTATAAAAATGACTTCTGGCAAACTGTGGTGGGAAAGAAAGCCCGAAATCATAAATATTTCTAAGGTTTTGGGCCAGGGCATCCATTTACAAAGATGGAGAAGACCCTAAGAAAGTGGGGTAGAGCTCGGAGGGTCACTGTGGCCACGGAAGTTCGAGATGCCTGGGAGGCATTTGAGGGGAAGCACATGTGGAATGAGCCTGAGAAACCTGCTTGCAGCGGGGAGAGCCAGGCTGGGTACGGAAACTCTAGACCGGGCAGCACAGGGGCAAATTTAAAGTCCAGATACAGGGGCCGGTGGTGGTGCCATGGTAAAACAGGATGCTCTGCAAGGCAGGCCAGAGCCGGAAGGTAACTGGCTTGCATCCAGCGACCTCCTGACTCCCAGGGCATGCATGTGCCCATGATCTGAGGTGCTGAGGCTGGGGTGGGTCACAGTATCAAGTCCTGTTGAGGGTGCCTTGCTCAAGCTCTCTTCCTCTCTCTCTCTCTCTCTCTCTCTCTCTCTGTCTCAAGGAGGGAAAAAATAAACTTTAAAATATGGAATTAATTAATCAAACTTAAATGCAGGGTGAGACTGTGCGGTGCACGGGCGCTGAACGGACAGCAAAGTCAGAAGAGCTGGGTCCTAGGCCCTCCGACATTCCCAGGCTTGGAGGAGAATCAGCAGCCAAGGAAGCAGGAGGGCCAAGAGAGCACGGGGCCCCAACAGCCAAGTGAAGAACTAACTTCTAGGAGAAGGGAAGGGTTTGGGACCAGCAGTTGGCGTAATGGCTATGTCGCTGGACTCCCATGTAGTCGACCATGGTTCGAGTCCTGGACCCGGTGGTGTAAACTCATGCCGGGTGTGTGTGTTTGCGTGCCCAAGATCCCAGGAAGAGAATGGAGGAGAAGGGATTGCGGCATGGCCATCTCCCCTGGGGGGTGTTTTCTTGCTTTCTATTTCTCTGTCTTTCTGGTGAACACACACACCCTATAGCAAAGAACTCTCAAAAAAAACAAAAAAGGGCACAGTG